ATGAATGCAATGGAGACAATGATTTGGTGGATAAAAAATTAGAAATAGGGTACAGAGGTGTACCAGAAGTGCAATGAGAAGAGACAGCAGAGTTTGATTTTAAAGAGGGTAAAGAATGTTTATATATGTCAAGGTATGCAGGAGGTTTAATTGATCTTGTTGATCTTCTCAGAGAAGTAGTTGGGATATCTTGGTTTAGTGAGGATGTTTGGGGATTGGATGTAGTTGTTATAGGAGATTGTATAGGAGATGTATGAATAGAAGATGTATGGATGGGTGATGTATGATCAGGAGAAGTAGGATTCTGTATGACAGGTGTAGGAGCAGGGACTGAAATAGGTTCATCTGCAAAAGAATATGATTCTGGTAATGGAAAAAGAGTATCATTGGAAGTTGATTGAACATTGTCTTTGAATGGAAGAATATTCTCATAGAATTGCACATTTCTGGATATTGATATCTTCTTGGTATCAAGGTTGTAAAGTTTATAACCTTTACACCCTATGGGATAACCAAGAATTATGCATTTGGATGCTCCTGAATCAAATTTATGTCTGTTTGCAGTCAATGTGGATGCATAACAAAGACTACCTATGACTCTGAGGTGATCATAGGTTGGAGGTTTTTTATTTAAAACTTCAAAAGGAGATTTGTTTTGCAGCACAGGAGAGGGCACTCTATTTATAATATGAGCAGCAGCACAAATGCAATCAATCCAAAAAATTAATGGTAAGTGTGCATGAAACATGATTGCCCTAGCTACTTGAAGTAAATGCTGGTGTTTTCTTTCAACTCTCCCATTTTGTTGAGGTGTTTCAACACAACTAGTTTGATGAATGATGCCATTGGACTGATAAAAATCATGCAAAAAGAACTCAGTGCCATTGTCAGTCCTAATGGTCTTAATTTGTTTTTGAAATTGATTGTGAACCAGATTGTAAAAATGATGTAAACTGGTTCTAGTGTCTGACTTATTTTTCAGAGGATATATCCAAGTTGTTCTACTGAAGTCATCCACTATAGTTAGAAAGTATCTATAACCCTCATGAGACATGACAGAGAATGGTCCCCAAACATCACAGTGTATAAGTTCAAATGTGCAAGAAGATTTAGAAACACTTACTGTAAATGGTAACCTTTTCTGTCTTGAAAAATGGCATACATCACAAGGT